TCTTGCGGTGTCCTATCGTGTGGGGACGAGGTTTGTGAAACACCTCTTAGCCGCCCGAACCACCAAGTGTTAAGTCGACACACTAGAGGGACTAGCGTGTTGGCAAGACCGTGAACCATCGTGGGAGAAAAATCGGTTGTCTCTTGTCATTAGGATTCTCTCCGGTGATTGGCTATATATTCATCGTGTAATTGGTTCACTCCACGACCCGCGGTATAATCGTCTCACTTACTCATTTACATTTCCAGCCAAACTAGATATAGCAAGCTCTTTAGTGTAATTATAATTGAGAGCCCTTGTGCACACCATAAGTGGAGCTCTTTAGTGTAGCTTTTGTGAGAGCTCCATGAGTAGTAGGGCAATTGTGTGCAAATAGATCATTGCAACTAGAATTGTTGGATAGGTGGCTTGCAACCCTTGTAGAGCTAGAGCAAGTTTGCATTTCGCTATCTTACTAATCAAATTGCTCTAGTTGATTTGTAGTTTTTAAATAGGCTATTCACCCCCCCTCTAGCCATATTAGGACCTTTCACTATCCCCACCATGGCTAAGTTCGGTGACCAGAAGATCGAGTTCAGCCCTTCATCGCCATCACGAATTAGGCCAAGTGAGGCCACAAAGGGCTCGAGGGCTGAAAGCTCTAGTTCAGTTTTCGTGAATTGATGAAACCCTAAGTGCTAACCTAGTTTATCAAAGTGATCATGAGATAGATAGCACTATTCCAAGTGGTGGAGCAATGGTGAAGATCATGATGATGGTGTGGTGACCATGGTGATCAAGTGCTTGGCTTGAAAAAGAAGAAAGAGAAAAACAAAAAGCTCAAGGCAAAGGTGATACTTGATAGGAGCTTTTTGGTTTGGCGATCGAGACACTTAGCTAGTGTGATCACATTTAGGATCGATAGTCGTGTTATTAAGAGGGGTGGAACTCTTATCGAAGTGCGGTTATCAAAGTGCCACTAGATGCTCTAATTCATTGCCTATGCATTTAGATCTAGTGGAGTGCTAACACCCTTAAAAATATTTGTGAAAATATGCCAACATACGTGCACAAAGTGATACACTTAGTGGTTGGCACATTTGAGCAAGAGTGCGAAGTTGGAGTTGAGGAGGCGCTGTTTACAGTGATCGGACGCTGGACCGGACGCTGAACCGGTTTGTCCGGTCAATTGGTGCATGGTGGCGAGGCCTCGATCGAGTGACCGGACTCTAGCGCGAAGTGGTGAACGAATGTGCAGGGCTTGGGTCCGGTTGCTGCTAATGTACGCTGACGTAGGGTTGCTGGACTTAGCGTGCAGCGGTTGTGAGGACCGTACTCAGCCCTGAGTCCAGTCATCCACCCTCGGACGCGTCGGGTCATGGAAAGGAGGCTCGGGGAGCTCTCTGGAAGTGATCGAACACCATGTTGGTGGCGTGTCCGGTCATTCCCTCGGTGCGTCAGGTCATAGTGTTGGGCGCGTGGGCTTGCATGCGAGCGAATGCGGCATTGGGCGCGTCTTGTCGTTGATCAGCGCGTCCGATCACAACTTGACCACACGCGGGAAGGCTCTCGACCGTTGGAGATCGGGTGGCCATGGTTTAAATGCTGGACACGTGGCTGACATCCGTTGACCGGACGCTGGGGACCGAGCGTCAGGTCATTTCGACCAGCGCGTCCAGTCATTCCGTAGACAACTGCAGTGAGGGGGCAATGGCTCTATTTCGTTTGCCCCTCTATAAAAGCTATTCAGCCGACTCAAGCTCACTATCTTGGCCATTTGCATTGACATAGCAACCTTGTGAGCTTAGTCAAAGCCCTCCCACTCATCTCCATCATTGATTCATCATCTTTGTGAGATTGGGAGTGAATCCAAGTGCATTGCTTGAGTGATTATATCTAGATACACTTGGTGTTCGTGTTTCACTGCGGGATTCGCTTGTTTCTCTTGGTGGTTGCCGCCACCTAGATGGCTTGGAGCAGCGAGGATCGTCGAGCGGAAGTTGGTGATTGTCTCCGGCTTCGATCGTGGTGATTGTGAGGGGTCCTTGACCTTTCTCTGGCGGAGAGTCAAAAGGTACTCTAGTGGATTACTCGTGGCTTATGTGATCCCCATCTTGTGTTGGTTGTGCGGCACCCGATTGTGGGTTTGGCGTGTGATGCCAATTAGCGCGTAAACCTCCAAGTGAGTGAATCGCCACAACAAGGACTAGCTTGCCGGCAAGCAAGTGAACCTTGGTAAAAAATCTTGTGTCATCTTATCCCGAGGATTTTTTTGTATTCATTGTGATTGATTGGCTCCATCATATTGTGATTGGATCTATCCTCGACACGACGGTACCACATCACCTCTCTTGCATTTACATTTCTAGTGTTGCTTCGCTCTTTAGTGTAATTAGTTTTGAGAGCAAGCTTATGTCGAGTCTAGTGGTTAGTGTGGCTCTTTAGTAAGTGTTTAAGAGCACACTAACTTAGTGTACTGACATAGCCATTGTATGCTTAGAGATCATAGTCATTAGAATTGTGGTAGGTGGCTTGTATTTTTTAGTAGGTTAGCGCAACACTTGCTTCGCCGTTTAATTGTCTAACATCTTTGCTAAGTGTTGTTGTAGAAATTTTCAATAGGCTATTCACTCCCCCTCTAGCCATTAGGACCTTTTAGAGGATCCTGATGAGATGCTAACATATGGGTATATTAAGCCTCGAGATCAATGGTTCCCGACCAAAGGGACCCCTCGGCCGACTCCTCCAGGATCGCCCGGGGGCTATACCCATTAGGTACGCTCGCGCACACCCTCCGACGAAGAAACCTGACCAAGCCTAGGCTTGGCGTAGCCCCTGCCTAGGGCTCGGGGGCTCGCCCAGGCCTCAGGCTCCCGATCGACGACACGCTCGAGCTTGGGCCTTGGCTCCTGCCCGGCTTGCGATGCTAGCCAAGGTCCGGGCACAAGAAGACAAGCCCCGAGCTATCGGGGCTCGGGGGCTCCTAGACACCACGCTCCAGGCGTGGCCTTGCCAGCCACTTCTGCGACAGGGCCACGCACGGGGTATGATATAAGAAGACAAGCTTCCCACGGCCTTCAGGGGCCAGGCGGCTCCCGGGCCCGCGCATCAGCCTCTGGAGCCGACCTCCTTCGCCACCAAGAAGACTCTAGAAGGTCCACCTGGGGGAGGCCGGTCCAAGCCGACACAACTTGACACGCAGAGTGTCAGAACAGAGCAGTCGGACGACGCCAAGGCTTCTTCGGCTCCACGACACCGCCACGGTTCACAGAGGCGCCGCTGCAAGACCCTCCTGGACTCTGACGTATGTTGACCATAGACTCATCTCCCCAAAGTGCCATGTACCCGACCTATCTCATTATATAAGGGATAAGGTCGGACCTAGAGGAGAGAGGATGATCGAAGACAGATCATTCCATTCCTCATTCCATCCGCTCCTGCCTAGCACCGAGAGCATTCCTCATTCCATCCGCTCCTGCCTAGCACCGCATTCCAACCCAGAGAGAGGCCGCGAGAGCCCCTCCACCGCATCCCGCCGTCTTCCTCCTTTTCGACGAGGGAAAGGCTCCACCGACGGCGAGGCGATCTTAGGATTAGCACCGAGCTAACTCCCTACCAAATCTCTCTTTACACTCTGTTGTAACCCCGATTTTGGGTGCTTTTGAGTATAAGGATCATCAGCTGCCGGACGTAGGGCATCGATTGGCCCGAACCAGGATAAACAGTTGTGTTCTCTCTGTGATTCTTGTGTTCTTGAGTTCACCCGAGCCACCGGAGACACGTACTCTGACACCGACTTGAACAACTATGCTTGCCGCGGTTTCAATCCCGCGACAGTGTGGTAGACACTTCAAAGTTCACATGTATAGGTGAAGCTTGGAATAAGATATTATTGCTACCAACGGATTCATCGGCTCATTGAAAATCAAATTAGAAGAAGACCATCGCTAGAAGTTATTGGATTATATTGGTATGGTGGCCGAAGGTATCAAGCTAATAGCCGATGGGAGACAATTACAGTTTGACGCCTGTACAGCCTCCATATTTGTTGCTGTCGAAGCCTCCTGAGAAGCACAAAACTGAGCTGTACAGAACTGAGCCGATGTGCTGTGCAGAAAATCAGCTGGTGAGTTGTAAAGAACATCAGCTGACGCGCTCATACACCCCACATCTATGGATTTGATTTAGAAAAATACTATTATATCAAGACGGGCGGCGGATGGGATGGCTTTGAATTGATCATGCATGGCTTGTTATTATCTAGCGTGACGCATCGGCTACTTCTTCGTTTCCATTGTTCCATGATACTCCGTCAATCCTGATATAGAGCCGATGCGGTCTTCAATATTGCAACCACATATCATCGGCTGAGGAAAGAAGATTATCCGACCGAAATAGTTCAAAGCATGAACATTCATAATCCGAACTAAGAGGGCTTATGTTTACATTAAAATTTGGTAAACTTATCTCTACTATAATTAAAAACTTAAGACTCATCACGAGGCTTTAACGCTCCCGTCCGACGGAACAAAAAGGAAAAGGGCGCAACCTCGGCAGCCGTAGTCTTCCTGCCCCCCCTCTGCTCATCTCTTCAGGAAACACGGAGGAAGGAGGCGGCAGCCGGCCAGGCCTGCGGGGCCCGCGCCCGTCCCTAGGGTTGTAGCAGCGGCGGCCGACCTGCTCGTCCCCACGCTCGGCCGGTGGCCTGTGGTCTGTCGGAGCGGCGGCGGCCAGGCGAACAGCAGATCCGCCTCCCCGACCTCGACCGGCGATCGCCCCTTATTGGTAGGTGTTAATCCGTTCCCCAATCCCCCCTCGCCCCCCTCATTTTTTTCTCTCTCTCTCTCTCGGTTTGGTCGCTTCGATCCACAGCCTATTGGTACCATAGCTCGATCCAGTGGTTGGTTGGGTTCGTGTTTCGGAAGGAATTGTTTATGATTATTGGTGATTCCGTTGTTTCCGCGGCTGTGGATTGATTTGGTGTGTCGCCTCTTCGTTGTCGCAGACTTGTAGTCGAAGCCATGGCGTCGCCGGCGCTAATCTGTGACACGGAGCAGTGGAAGGCCCTCCAGGTGCGTGAACCCGTCGCCGATCGCATTGCGGCGAGTCCTATGCTCTGATTAGCTCAGTGTTTGTTTCCGCTTCCACTCGTGCGGATGCAGGCGCACGTCGGCGCGATTTAGAAGACGCACCTGCGGGATCTGATGGCCAACGCCGACCGATGCAAGGCAATGACGGCGTAGGGACTCACGCCTGTGTTCGTGGAATTTCGTTTCCTACGTGTGCACGGATTCTGTTTGCGTACCTGAAAGGTGTCTGGTTGCAGTGAGTATGAAGGGATCTTTCTGGATTACTCGAGGCAGCAGGCGACTGGTGAAACCATCGACAAGCTGCTTAAATTGGCTGAGGTGATGCCTCTGTCGCCTTTTCATTTTGGAGGTGGGGATTGCACTTTCCTGTGGTAATTTGGGATTTGTTTGGTTTGTTATAGGTTGCGAAGCTCAAGGAGAAGATTGAGAAGATGTTTAAAGGTGGAAAGGTATATGTGATGATCTGAAACTGCTCTTCAGTTGCTCCATCACAAACGTATATTCAGTATACATTTCTATGTAAAGTGTGCCAGCCATGGAACATTGGGTACTTTTTATTTCCTTATATTTTATTTATCAGTTAACTTGTACATAGTTATTATATAAATCTTGCCATTTTTTCTGATGCTGATTTAGCCCAAAAATGTCCCTTACATGTTTTATTTGTCCAGTTAAATTACTTTAATAAATTTGTAACATAAGTTGATCGGTTCTGTCAGATAAAAAGCACAGAGAACATGTCAGTGCTTCATGTAGCTCTGAGGGCTCCAAGAGATGCAGTTATAAACAGTGATGGGGTCAATGTGGTACCTGAGGTTTGGTCTGTTAAAGATAAAATCAAGGAGTTTTCAGACACTTTCAGAAGTGGATCATGGGTAAACTTTCAGTCAATTTTTGAACTAATTAAACGTGGCAGAAACTTCAAGATTGACCGCTGGAACTGCTTGACTGCAGGTTGGAGCAACTGGAAAACCATTGACGAATGTTGTGTCAGTTGGAATAGGTGGTAACTTTCTTGGCCCTCTATTTGTGCATACTGCGCTCCAGACTGGTAAACTATTGAGCTCTTCAGTTCTAGGTTTCCTAGAAACTTCTATGCTTTTTAAATTGAAATGCCTAGAAAATATTGCCAATCTTCAGATCCAGAAGCAGCAGAATGTGCGAAAGGCCAACAACTGAGATGCATGCAATCTTTATGCTATTCATCCAGTAATTCATGTTCAATTTTTTATCAGCCTTGCAAATGTTGATCCAGTTGACGTTGCACGGAGCATTAAAGATTTAGATCCAGAAACCACTCTGGGTAATCACCTACCCTCACTTCAACATAGATTCTTTGTATGTTACTGATGAATATTTGCTGAAGATTTTTATATTTCTTGTCTAACAACTTGCAGTGGTGGTTGTATCAAAGACATTCACAACAGCTGAAACAATGTTAAATGCTCGAACTCTTAAGGAGTGGATCGTTTCTTCTCTTGGGTTAGTTTAGTACCTGAAAATATTTTTTGACACGTCATCTCAACTTATTGTGATTTGAGTTATAAAAATCGTTCATTCAGGCCACAGGCTGTTGCAAAACATATGATTGCTGTCAGTACTAATCTTAAGGTACTTCTGAACCTTCTATTGTGATTATTATACCTGTCTATTTAGCTTATCAGTTAACTCCTCCTCACATCTACTTGTCTTTTTGTTGTCAAGAATATTAATTGGCTGATTTTGTTAGAGTTGCCTTTGGTATGCCAAGTTGTATTTCAGAAAATTGTTGACTTGAGAATAGCAGGCTGAACCTTAGCCAGTTGGAGCAGGAGCTCCAGCATGCTCGCCAACAGGTATGATCGTCATGTACTCATCTTGTGTTCTTTGGATTCGACAAAATCTGCAGTTCCTGTTGAACAAACTGTTTTTTCAACGTTTTGCTACTTGTTCAGGGCATTTTTATTCCTACTCCGGGAGACCAGCCTCATTCAACTAGTGAAAATGGTAATTTACTGTTTTTTTGTGTGTCAAATGTTTAGATCACACTGGACAGTATCCTGAACTAAGCTGTTATCCATATTTCTAGGTGCTTTGGCATTTGACATGGACTATGTGTTCGATGGCAAGATGATCACATTAAGCAGATAAATGAACTGAGGGCTGCACTCAATGCACATGCCAGTGACGATGATCTTCGGCATATTATCGATAGCTTCATGGCACATTACTACGAAGCTTTCAGGCTTAAGGGTGTAGCAGCCAAGGCAGACACTATTCATGTGCCGTCAGGAATGTGGAAGGCCCCTGTCGAGAGGTGTTTTTATGTGGTTAGGTCGATTTTGACCGTCAGAGATTCTGAAGGTTTATGGTCTCTGCTCACTTGTTCTTGTTAGGTCATGTGCTTCTGTCAAAGCTGAAAGGCTTTCCGGTTTTTTTACACAGTTGCTTGCAAGACATCTGGAACCCCTTACTGAACAGCATTAAAGTTGTGCATGAAGGTGCATGTTTGGCCAATATGTCATGTCAAATACTGAGTATTGTTTTCAATTTTGTGTCAAGAGTGATATCGTTGAATCCGTGATAATAAAGCTCTCTTTGGCGAGAGGTGGGTGTCCTGTGTAATTTTGGATCAAGATCTTTAGAAACTAAGTAGTGTGTAGGTAAACCATTTTTTGTTGTGTGATTTGTATTATCAAATGTCACCGTAGCGTTAGCACGGGCATTATACTAGACAGGGCTCGGGGGCTCCTAGACGCCACGCTCCAGGCGTGGCCTTGCCAGCCACTTCCGCGACAGGGCCACGCATGGGGTATGATATAAGAAGATAAGCTTCCCACGGCCTTCAGGGGCCAGGCGGCTCTCGGGCCCGCGCATCAGCCTCTGGAGTCGACCTCCTTCGCCACCAAGAAGACCCCAGAAGGTCCACCTGGGGGAGGCCGGTCCAAGCCGACACAACTTGACACGCAGAGTGTCAGAACAGAGCAGTCGGACGATGCCCAAGGCTTCTTCGGCTCCACGACACCGCCACGATTCACAGAGCGCCGCTGCAAGACCCTCCTGGACTCCGGCGTATGTTGACCATAGACTCATCTCCCCAAAGTGCCATGTACCCGACCTATCTCATTATATAAGGGATAAGATCGGACCTAGAGGAGAGAGGATGATCGAAGACAGATCATTCCATTCCTCATTCCATCCGCTCCTGCCTAGCACCGAGAGCATTCCTCATTCCATCCACTCCTGCCTAGCACCGAGAGCAGGGGCAACCCAGAGAGAGGCCGTGAGAGCCCCTCCACCGCATCCCGCCGTCTTTCTCCTTTTCGACGAGGGAAAGGCTCCACCGACGGCGAGGCGACCTTAGGATTAGCACCGAGCTAACTCCCTACCAAATCTCTCTTTACACTCTGTTGTAACCCCCGATTTTGGGTGCTTTTGAGTATCATTTTGTTTTTCCCTCTTCATGTCAGCAGACTCTACAGGCGGTTTCATAGGCCCTGTCAAGAAGGAGCCAGAGTTACATGCTCCACTAAACTCATCAGCCTTGGATGTCAAGAAGTGACACTACAGAAACATTTTCTGCTACTGGGTATGGGCCACTTATTGGTTCTATATAGGAATCTTAGCTATATATGTTGATTGTTTTTTTAATGTTTGTTGTTTTCATCGTTTCAAGTCAATTTCTTCTCTCATCTCTCACTGTTGCCCTTTTCTTTATTTGTTTCTCTCTTTCTTGTGATTTGTAACTCGTTTTGGGTTTCATAGCTAGTTTACCCAACTTACTCCAGACTGGTATTGTAGTTGTTGAACTGTTGCATTAATTTAGTTATTCCCTTGTACTTATTTTTTGTTTTTGCATCATTTGTTGTCCATTTGTCTATTTGATAATTGAAGTACAACAGAATCGAAATAGATGTTTTGGCTGGTTTCCTATTAGACCTTTGATCTTAATGGCTATAGTTCATTTCTGGTGTTCTCTTCACAAAACACAGGTTCAAAGGTGGATAACACAGATCATATGTCAAATATAGGTCCTACAGAATAGAGTGGAGTAGTTTTTGACAAACCAGAATGTCATTGTTGGTTATTTTTTTTTACTTGTCATCCTAGAATGCGTGCAACTGAAGCCTTTCTTCTGTCACACGAAAATAATGTTTTCAAGGCGTCGCTTTGTCGTCGCTTAATCGCCAAGGCGCTCCACGTGGGACGGCACAGCAGACGACTCGCCTTACGGGGAGGCCTCTGTTCTGGGCGGCGGGAAAACGCGTGAGATGGATTGGAAACGGCGGGGAAAAGTGAGGGAGAAGGGGTGCGCGGGAGAAACAGAGCGCGCCGGAGGGAGAGAGAGAGCGGGCGCGCGGGAGATTCACCAGCAGGAGAGCGGGAGGGAAACCAGAAGCCGCAGCTCGCCCGTGCGGACGCGTTCTCCCGCGCCGACGGGAGAAGTTGCTGCCCGCTCGCCGCCTGAGCCGTGCGGGCGCCTGTGCGGGCTGCGGCCATGTTCCCCCAATCGGAGCTGACCTGCAACATCTGGAGGAGGGAGGGAAGCAAGAGACAGAGAGGGACGGAGGCGGAGCGGTAGTGGAGAACGAGAGAGAGAGAGATGCGACGGCGCTGGAGAGAGGATTGGGAGTTCGAGAGATGAAGCAGGCTGCAGGAAGGTCAAAGGTGAGGGGTATATGGGCTGCCTGGTGGGCTGGGCCTGACTACTTCTTGCTCCTTCTCCTTTCTTTTCCTTTTTCCTTTTTGTTTTTCTTCATTATCTACCACTCTAAGCTGCTTTTTTAAGATTCCCTTAAGATGTTAAGGCGTCGCCTCGCCTCACGCCTTAGTCGCTTAATCGTAAGGCGGTAGTCGGTCGCCACGCCTCGCCTTACCGCCTTGAAAACATTGCGAAAATTGCAGTAGTAGCTTCATCACTAAACGTAGGTTAAGTGCCATTATATTTTTGTTATGTTTCACTAACATAATTCTAGAGAAAGGAATGGTAGAAAATGTTTATTTGATATCGTTATGATGTCCTTCTCTACAAGTAACTTGTTACGGCATTGAAGGACCTGATACTTTCTAGCTTGAATATTATGAAGAGATCATCATTTGCAGTCTCAGTTTCATATACTTTGTTTTCTTCATTTTTGCATCATCTGTTCTTTATTCTTAACTGTTTATATTATTCAGTATCCATTTTCCAGGGCAATCTGGCAGTGTCTTTAAATTTTGACAATTCACTCATTCAAATTAGACGTGTTCACTTTTTCTGGTAATTTGTAAATGTAGCTTCAAGACTTCCTTGGCAGGCTTCTAATTCTTTTAGGCTTATTATGTTTGCAGCAATGTTGCCCAGGCTGATGCTAAGAACACACTTCTCAGCCTCCATCTCAAGTGCAGCATGGTTGGGGTGGTATTCCAGGTCGCCCTTCCATGGCTGAAATAGTGAAGATGGGCAGGCCTCAAGCTAAGGTTGGGAGCAGATCTGTTGCAAGTAGCACTGCCATGCCAGCCATTGGTGATTCAGTCATTTCCAATATACCAAATCTTGCGCCCAAGGAATACAACAGAACTGTTTTTACATCAGAAGTAGGCCATGGTGCAGCAGATAAATTGCCAAATGGTGCTGTTGAGGTGCACTCTGTACCTAAAGATGCTTCCTCACTTGATATGTTACCTTCAGCAGAGGGAACAGATGTTGAAGCCCTTTCCACGAGTTCTAACGCGCAAGGTTCATCAACGCCAGATGCCAATGAAGATGACATTGAAAAAGACGCAAATTTGGAAGAGGGCAATACAGAAAGCTTGACAACTCCTGGACTAAGTTTCTGCTTCTGGTAAAGATATACAATCAGAATATACTGAAGTTGTCAGTCATCTGGATGAAGGCTCGATAGAGAAAACAGACGACTTTCAGCTCAATGGCCTTTCATTTGAGCAAACCAAAGTAAGTCAAAATGGGCATTGTTTGTCTTACCTGTATTTCTGCATGTTGTTATTCAGCTTATATGATTCTGATGACCCTACTTACTAAGTAAATTAAGTTGTAAGTGCTTTATTTTATTTATTATGTGGATCTTTTTTGTTTCCTATGTGGCTATTACATATTCACACCACTATGTGGCTATCACATATTCACACCCCTATGTGGCAATCACACATTCACACCCCTATGTGGCAATCACACACTCACACCCCTATGTGGCTATCACACATTCACACCCCTTTGTGGCTATCACACATTCACATTACACCCCTATGTGGCTATCACACATTCACATTACACCCCTATGTGGCCACCCTTTTACTACTTTACCTGTTACCATAGTGCCCCTTTGTAACTAAAAAAAATGGGATGACGGGCCATCTATTGTGTCACTGTGTGAGATTTTCCTGACGGTGTTCATCAAGTTTCTCATTTTGTATTACCGTTTACCTCTTTGATGGCAGATCTGAATGGAGATATGTCTACAACGACAACACAGTTTGACCATTTGACTCTGCATGAGGGACCAAAATTGTCCGATGATAATCCGGCTGTAATAATCCCTGATCATCTTCAGGTTTCAAACGCTGATTGTGCACACTTGACATTTGGTAGTTTTGTGTCTGGAACACTTGATGCATCCTTGACAACAAAACCTCTTGATAGTCATGGGGATGTTGCGACAGTTCCTGATGATTCAATTGACCAATCAGATAGCAGGTATCCTCCTTCGTTTTCTTTTATATTTTCTTCACCCCAATTTTTATCATGTAGCTCTTATAAGCCCTTTACTTTATTTTCAGAATCCATGATGACGAAAGCAAGGTGACATTAGCTCCTCCTGCTAATGAATACGCTCCTCCTGCTAATGAATATGTTACTTCTGCGGCAAACAGCAATGTGGAGAATCTTGATATCACATCAGTACAGCAATCTGAAAGAGCCAATTTCCTGGATGTCACGAGCAATACTGAATACAACCTATCATCAACCCCAGATTATGCAACTTCAGGTCCAGCGCTGCAAGATTCTGCTTCACAGAGTTATCTACAGGAAAACCGACAATTCCAGAACATTTCTCCTCTCTCAAGCTTCATGGTACATACCCATGTGTCATCCTAGCTCTAATTGCAGTGATATGTTGCAAATTTCTATGCAATTGTGTATATGCAAATTAAGTGTTGCGGTTGCTATTTTGCTTATATACCGTTATACTTTACATCTAACCCTTTGACTTGTCTGTGGGAGAGAAACCTCATAAAAGGTTGACCTAGCTCGCTTATTTTACTATTTGAAGGCACACTAGCTCTTTGAAAAAAAAGAAGTGTACCTGATTTCCCCATTTGCAGTTCATGTGCTATTATTAATTTGTTTGCTTTGCATTAATGTTCTCTACTAACAGCTGTTTTATTATTGTGTGTCGGCAACTAACAGCTGTTTTATTTTTTTGTGTCTGCAACTAACAGCTGTTTATTGTTGTGTGTGTCTGCTACTAACAGCTGTTTTGTTGTTGTGTGTGTCTGCAACTAACAGCTGTTTTATATTGTGTGTGCAGCAAAAATACAAAATGGTCTCCTGTCACCAGCAATCCCACCATTGCGCGAATTTGATCCAGCATTCTCACTATTGCTCACTAATCCTCCTATGATGCCTGGTGCAATGTCGTCATCCATGAGCAATGCAACTGTTTCTACGCAGCCCCAAGAGGTATGAACATTTCACTTTATTATGCAATTTCAACTCCATTTGTGCATTCCAGTGAAGCAACAATGTATTTCTCCCTTTCTTGCCAACTTTCTACATTCTGTCTTGTTGGTTATGTTACCTATAGTTACTTGATGTTGCTGGGTAATCTGATCTGCTATAATTACGGTCTTGAAAGGGCAGCATATATTCCATTTGTTGTTGACAAACTAATGTCATAAACGAGGCTCATGTTTGCTTTAGACAACGAGCCTTTTTGTCTGTTGTATAGGTTGTCAATAGTCCTAAGATTTGCATTGGTGGAACATTTGCAGTTTATGGTGAAATACGAGGAGACGATGCATAAGATTTTGTTGTGTTGCTATCTGATTGTGATTATTTCCTAACATTTGAACTTACCATGTTACATGCAAATGATAAGTGTTAAGAATGTGGAACCTGCTAGACCGATAAACTTCCTTTGCAGTTTTTGGTGAAACATGAGGAAGCGATGCATAAGATTTTGTTATCTTCCTATTACTATTTGTTTGTGATTGTTTTTAACTTATCATTTTACATGTAAATGATGAATGCTAGAATGATAAACTTCCTTCTCTTAACCTCCTAGATTGTGATTTGGTTTATGCTAATTGCACCATGTCACCATGAGCAATATAGGTAAACTAGCAGTCTTCAAATGTGATTTATATTTGGACAAAGGACAACGTTAACGCGCGACGGGTCACGCGCTCCGGGAGCGCGCGACCCCATCGTCTACCTCGCGTCCGCCTCCTCTGCTGCCTCTTTCTCCCTCCCTGTGGTCGTCCTCCGCTGCTCCCTCCTCGCCGTCGTCCTCGACCTTGCCGAACTCGCCCCCGCCGCCGGCCCCCGCCCCCACCGCGGCGCGCTAGGGCTTGCCGCCGCGACGGCCGCCTTCTTCCCTCCCCCCTCTCGCGGAAGATCCACCATGGCCGGCGAGTTCCGAGCTCCGGCCATGGCACCCCCGCCCCTCCTTGGCCCAGCAGCCGCGGGCACCGCCAGGGCCCCTAAGCCGCCCGACCTCCTTCCCTACCGCCGGGCCGGCCTGCCTCCCCCTGGCCGGGCCCTTTTATAGCTGCCGGAGTTGGGAAGGAGAGGGGGGAGGAGCTCGCTGGAACCCTAGCCACCGCCGCCGTCGTCTTCGTCTCCGGTGAGCTTAGATCCAGGAGGAGGAGGAGGCCTACCTCGCCGCCCGCCGGAGAGGAGGGAGGGAGGAGCTCGCTGGCACGGAACCCTAGCAGCCGGCGTTTCTTCTTCTCTGGCAAGGGCGTGGAGGGAGAGGGAGCGCGGGGTCGCGTGGGGAGAGGGAGAGCGGGCTCGTGTCGCGTGGGAGAGGGAGTGAGGCGTGGGCGTCGCGAGGTCGCGCGAGGCATGAGCAAGGGCGTCGCGCGGTCACGCGACCGTCGCGAAGTAGCTTTTTCGTTGGACAAATCCTGATAATGAACCCGGCTACGTTGAACTTCTTTTTTAGTCTCTTATTATTGTGGAAACTGGAACTACCATGGTCTCCAGTTTGAGCTTTGGAGTGACTTAAGTTTCATCTTTAGGCATCTGTTGTGTTTTCTCTGATTTCCATCTCAATTTAAAAAAAAAAAAAAATCAAAGGGTTAAAAATTTCCGTTCTCTATCACTCTATAGTGTACACTACTATACTTATTTTAATTCCATGGAAGATTCTGCTACTGACTCCTTTAGTGATTGATCCATTCCAGTTGTGCCAAAACGTTACTTTTATCTTATGTTCCACTTAAAACTTGTAGTCAGTTGTCTTTGTCTAATGGGCATATACATACTAATTTTCATATAGTTTTCCTAGTATATATTTTTGTTGGATCTGATATATACGTGGCACAATTCTTATTGTGTGTTTGATTCTCGCAGAATGCCAATCCAGTTGGTTTACCCAATTGACTCAATCTCATCCAAGCTCCAGCATTGCTTCAGGGCCTCCACTCCCTCAGCATCTTCTTCATCCCTATGCTCAAGCAACCCTTCCTCTTGGATACGCAAGCATGATTGGCTATCCATCTCTTCCACCAAGCTATGCATATCTCCCACCTGCTGGTTTTCAGCAACCATACATGAACAGTGGCTTGTTCCACCAAGCAGCAGCTGCAGTTCCCAACTCAAGTGTGAAATACCCTCTACCACAGTACAAAAGCAACATTGCCCTTGCTAGCTTACCACAGCCAGGCTCTTTGCTCTCGAGCTATGTTGGAGGCTTTGGAACTGCAAACAACATGCCCGGAAATTTCCCTCTAAACCAAAGCACAACATCAGCAACCACAACTCTTGGGTTTGATGGGACGGTCCCTTCACATTTCAAAGATGGAAATCAGTTTATTTCCCTTCAGCAGGTAACTATGCCTGAGTTTTGCATATGAGGTTGGAGAATTAGATGATTACTAACTTTCCTTCTACTGCTGACAGAATGAAAACCCGGCAATGTGGATGCATGGAGCTGGTTCACGAGGAATGCCCCCACTTGCAGCCAGTACCATGTATGGCTATCAAGGGCAGAGTCATCAGGCTGGCCTTCGGCAGGGCCAGCTACCTTCACAATTTGGCTCTGCGCTTGGGCAGTCACAGCCAGGCCTGGGCCCTGAACACCGAAACCCTAGCGATGGTAACCTAAGTGGTGCTGCTCAGGCTAACCAAATGTGGCCAAATAGCTACTGATCCATCCCCTTGTCAACTTTTGTGGAAGGCGATCCTGTTGTGTGTGCAACGCCAGAGAGGCCATGCAAATGCAATGCTTGTGGTCTGATCCAGGCACGCGGATACCGCTGTGTGCATGAGTTGCTGTCGTGACATTTTGAGAGGCTGAGAGGCACAAGAAATATATGTTCGAGCATGTTCTACCTGTAGGGTTTCTAGGATATGGCCAAAAATGTAGCGCGATCTATTTATTCAAATTCTGATAGAGAAAGGACCGTTCTTTTTTCTATTTTATTTTTCCTTTTTGGTGTTTACATATCTTGTGACAATAAAACCGAAATATCTAACACAGCAGCACCATTAGTTCCTGAGGAAGCGAAAGATATCCTATCTTTGCATCACCAGTATCGCGTGCCTCTTGGATCGAATTTTATGATTGAGATGGTTATTTGATGGATGAGTATTTCCCACTCACTGTCCTGTCAGCTGAGATTGCGGAGCATTACCATTGGATCTCTTATACTGCATCTACTATAAGTATAAGTTGTTTTAGGAGTAAAAGAGTACCGCTGTAGTAGATTTACCTAAAAATTGTCTTCTGTATTTTTTAGGGTATTAAGGAGAAATGATGCTTTTTTTTATTAGATCTTTTAAAAATTATAGGTACAGAAGATGAGATAGATCTGTATCTTTATCTTCTAGAAGTATCGGTATAGGAGATTGGATAGGATATCTTTCAAAATGAGCCAAATATTGAGGAGTACTTTCTTAAGTACATATTGATGAGTACTTTCTTTAGTTTAAGTATTGATAAGTATTTTTTTGGTCTAGTTTATAAGAGGCAGTTTGGCATCTCCGACTCCTTGGGCCTGCGATTACCGTGATGGCTTCACCGTCTTCCATCACACCAGCGTCTTCGCTGGCAGTCCGGCAGGGCGTTGGTCACTTGCTCATACCAACCGCACCACTTGCTCTTGCTGTCACGGTGAGAATCTTCACCCAGGCCTCTCCCGGTTTGTTTCAGTCGTTGGATTGTTTGTTATAATACACTCCACCGAATCACTGGTCACTGCTGGTCCAAAAAAACCTGACCCGACCTATGGTAGCGACGTAGCGTCATGCAATGCGAGGCAATCAGCTCTTGAAGCAGATATGGCCGTGGTGAAGCCGTTTCGGTTTTAGTACTGGGATGCTCGGTTGTCGGGTTTCGCTAGTCCTTGTCTTCGCGCTCCGTAATGCAGAAGGCACGGCAAAGACCCATCACCATCCCCTGGCTAACCTATTCCTTCCGTAATCGAAACTTCTCGGCACGAGCACTGAGCGCAGATCGAGATCGAGTTGGCGTGGCGGCGCATCGAGGCAGGGCGGGGTCGCGCGGGCGCGGATGCAGACGCCGTGGAGGCAGTCGACGCGACCGCGATTGGACGCTTCGGCGGCCGGGCGGGAAAACATCTCGCATCACCAACTGGCGGGATTGACCCATTTGCAAATCCAGCGCCCCATTGTGCCGCTTAATTTAGCCGGCCTAGTTATTGGCAGAGAAAAGAGCCCATGAACAGCCCTCCCAAGACCGTCCAGACCTATCTCGCGACGCCCACCCCCGCCGGCCGCCGCCACGCTGCTGTCATCTGCTCCGATCCGGTTCTAGACCTCCGTTCTCCAGGCTCCAGCGCTGCGCTGCATCGGTTTGAATCGACCGGCGATGGGCGTCTCGCGTCGGTTTCTGAATCTGATCGTGGACAACCGCATCCAGGGAGCCAGATCGCTGAATTGCATCGACCTGAGGCGCGCGCCACAAGTTGTTCAACACGAGAACACCTGTACTGCCGCCACCGAAAGGAAACAGGTCTGAATCAGAACGGCCGCCGCAAGACGATCGCAAGAACTACAGGCAGGCAGCAGCTTCATCGATCACAAGAAAGATCCGGGAGATTCAGCTTCCTCAACCAACCATGAACTTCCGATGCTCAATCGTACACTGTTACTGGTATATGAAGTGTTTGCCGCTTGCAGGTCGAAAGCTGCTGTGCGTGGACCCATCTTACCGCACTGTCCTCTTCGATGTGAACACGCGCCAAGTGGAGACCATTCCCTACTTCCACGTGCCCAAGCATGAGCCCTTGCCCTGCTTTGTCCCACTCCCATCCAGTGCTGATGCCACCGACGACGGCAATGGCAGCTTCTACATCCTGGAGGGTTCTCCCTATCAGGAGCTGCAAGGAGAAGACGACGCCAGACAGCAGCTGAGCAATCAGTATGAGGCTTTTGTCTACAACAGCGAGTCCTAGTCCTGGCAGAGGCAGCTCCTCCCACCGCCGCCATTCGTCTGTGACCCTAAGCACTACGAGCACAGAAAGCACCCCGACATCACCTCCTACGCGGTGGCCGAACGAGGCGGCTCCCATGTCGTCTTCGTATCGGCGGATGGCGCTGGCACCTACTGCTTGGACACGGTGACGCACACTTGGAGCCATGTCGGCGACTGGATGCTACCTTTCAAAGGCAAGGTCGAATATGTGCCGGAGCTGAAGCTGTGGTTTGGCATTTGCACCGAGGGCCTGCAGCTGGGTGCTGCTGACCTGTCCACCATGGACGACTCCCAGCCACAGCTAGTAGGCACTTGGAAGGAGCTCGAGGCACCTGGAGACTAGAGGGAGCTGCAGCCAAAGCCTGCTCAGCTTGTCAACCTGGGCTCTGGCAGGTTCGGCATCACAAGGTTCTTATGCCGTGCTCTACCGAATCTTGGCCTTCTTACTGAATCCCATGGTCTTCTATGATTATTCTGATTATGATATTGATGATCTGGTTGAGGAGGAATATTTCACTGTCTTGACTGGTATCGATGTGGTGCCACGTGTCCATGACGTCCACGGGACTGGCATTGGCAGCGAGGGGAAAGTGGAGCTCCAAATGATCAAGCACAATTCAAGACGCCACATGTCTTATGGCAGTGATGGTAACATTGAAGTAGTGTTCTGAATAAGTTTGGCTCGTTGCTTCAAGACCCCTGTGTGTTATCTTATCCATCACTATCATGCGTCTGAAACTCTGAATAATTTTCGGGCTTCGATTTGTCTGCAAGAGACAACTCGGTATCTCTTCGTAGCTTGAGGACCTCTCTCTCTCTCTCTCTCTCTCTCTCTCTCTGTGTGTGTGTGGCGCGCGTGCGTGTGTGCGCGCGCGTGTATGTGTGGCGTGCGTGTGCGTGTGTGTGTGCGTGCGCGCGCGCGCGTTTGTGTGATTTTGGCTCTACCGTTTATGTGGTGACATTGAAGACTCATGAAAGTCTTAAGAGCCAAGTAATACATTTTGTACTATGTTTAGTAAGATCTCTTGCAATATATAATGGTACAAAACCGCCAACGAAAATAATTTTCACCATGGCTGTGTTACTTCTGATTTCAGATATGAATAGTCTGTGATCTCCATTGAGATAAGACAGTAGTTGAGTCCACAACTCCACACCCACATTAAGCAGGGGACGCACAGCGTGCTGAAGGTGTGATTCTCACTATTCAGTGTCAAGCAATATACTCTCTCCGTTTCAAACTATAATTCGTTTGATTTTTTGTTTACCCAAGTTTGACCGCTCGTCTTATTCAAAAAATTTATGCAAACATAGTCAAATTTAAGTCATTCTTGAAAAACTTTTTGTTAATAAAGTAAGCCACAACAAAAGAAGTGATATGGTAAAAAAGTCAAACGAACTATAATATGGAACTGATTTAGTACTACACAAAATCGTTTAGTGCACAAAAGCAAAATAGTGTGTTTTCCACTCTCCAATGTCAAGCAAACGTACACTAATCGTTTATTATTTTAGCAACAAAAAAATTAATATTTTTAAAAAGCATGCCCTAAACTAAATTTTCATGAACTAGCCCTTTTAATAATGGCGCCAGAAGTCTTGGCACGACTCAGTAAATATGGTCACGCCATATGCATTGGCGTCACTAACTAGTCATGCTGCCACGCACGGAGAACACTTTCCACGTAAGATGTCGACGTGACACGGAGCTGAGTCGCGCCATCGCGGATTGAGAACACTGGCATGTTAAGTCACGCCAAAGTGGACGGCGTAACTCAGCATCTCAGCCACGCCAAACTCCATGGCGTGACCATGCTTGTGTACCATTGTTAGATTGTGTCCGTTACAATTAATAAAACAACATTTTGATGTCTTTTATATTTTTTGTCGATCTAAAATAAAGGACTTATGCATCTCCAAATTTCTTCAAAATTTTTATGTAGATGCTAGAAAACAAGCACTACCCATTTTATTTATACCTGGCATACAAAAGTCTTGTAGTTTTGAAATTCAATACTATATTTGAGTCTTAAGTTAAATTGTTTAGTCTCAAAAAGGACTCTAAAAATTTAGAAATAAATTATCTGAATTCTTGGTTTAGAAAGTAGAATTTTGTCATATAATTTCTTAACATACGTGTTTAGGTGAAATCTGAAGTTTCTTAGCAAAGCATATGCTCAAAATTAATTTTTAATCTCTTAAAAGACGAAATCCGCACCATCGAATCTACCAGCCACGTACAGTCGCACCTCATCTCGCGACGTTATTAGCAGAAAAATCTCGACTCGGCAACCTCCGCGAAACATCTAGCGCTCGTTCCACCTCGAGCCACGGGCAGAGCCTGCATTGTTACGACATGCCTCTCCCTATGGGATACAGGCGCACAGCCTTTCCCATTCGTAGCAGCCCCAAAAAATAAATCCAACAATACATTAGAAATACATATATCTCGCAACAAACTCTCTGGTGGACGAAATGGTTCCCGCCCATGGCAGTGGACTCCAGCGACTCTCCTCGACACTGGATGGTCCTGCCCCTGCGTGGCGCACGCAGCCGTGCAAGCACGGCACAGAGTGCCCGAGAGCCTGGATTGTTAGACATGCTATGCAATACGGCCGCACTTTTGCAATACATTAGAAATACCATATATCTTTCAAACCTGATATGAATCTACTGTTACTGAGTCCTCGCCTGGATGGTCCACGGTCCAAAA